GGGGGGGGGAAGCTTATGCATGGATGATTTTTTTATTTCAGTAATAAACAAGTCAGTCATAAACAGGAAAATAAACATGTATTAATGACACTCTTTGATTAACATATTAAGTTATAAAGAGAATGACATTGTTTGATTTTATATTATAGTTATATTATATCAAAGAACATTTTATTTACTTTCTCCCATTAACTGTTTTCTCGAAATGAGGCATTCCAGAGAAAAGATCCACACTCCCCCCAGGGGAGAAAATTTCTGGTGTCCGAAGGGGGAAGGGAGACAAAATTGTTTCTGATAATTGTTAATGTATTAGGACATCCGAAAAGGGTAGGGGGTTAACATCCAATTTCCTCTGTTGGGGGTGGGGGTATGGACGTTTTGTGGATCGACCCAATGTATCGCAATTCATTCTTATTGGGTGTGTATTCACTGAAATCAAATGTACAAAACAAAGTGCCATTGGTGTGCTCTGTGTTCATTCACTGGAAATGAAATATACAAAAGCAAGCCACTGTTGTTTGCATCTAACTGATCTAAGAGAAAACATATTGGAAAAAGCACTATTTATTCCTACACAAGGATCTTTGATTGGTTTTCCCAGTTTATGTTTAACTGACAAAACTTTTTTCTGGCTAACACCCTGTACATGAGGGGAGCTTATATTCGCGGGGGCCAGGCTTATATTCAGAGGTTTACTGTATTAATTAAAAATGAAAATAAAGTGCAAACCAACCATCAAACGTGTACACGTCTTGTAAGAGTAGATGCTTAGAAAACAGTCCGAAAAGAGCATCAATATCCTCATGGGTATGGCCAACAGGAAGGAAGTTTCCTTTAATCTGTAACAAGAAAATTGGGACAATTTTAATAATATACAGGTATACACTAACTATCAATTAACCAATTGAGCTGCTGCAGTGCTTCCTCATTGATGAGTAAAATCATCTGGCGTTAAACAAGTAAAAAAAGGCCCATTGCGGCTCAATGGGTTAATTCTTGATTTTCCTGTGCTCTTTTCTTATTAGTAGGGCAAATAAAACAGATCCTCTCAACCAATGAACTCATATGAACAGGTTGCAATTTACCGGTATAGTACAGTAAACACAAGTATCAAAATATGACATGAAACTTGTTTAACCTCTTAGACATCCACAAAAGAAATTGCTACATAAATGGAAGATTTCACACTAAAGTGCATTCATAATTATATACGATACCTTATCAAAGACAGACCATTCCACCAAGAGAGACAATAAGGTAAAGACATGCTTGTTCTTGTTTTCCCGTCAAGTTGTAAGTTTAAAACTGGTGGTATGCTAACCTCTGTGTTCAGTGTCCCCAAGATGAAAAGAATAATGTTCATGGTCAGGTTACTGTCATGTGGCCACTGAAACAGATCAAAGTATCCAAACAATGCTTTCCCCATTGGGTATAAGCCACTATGAGCAATAACGCCAACCAAGTGGGTCCGGAGTCTCTGCAGGTTTGCTGTGGATTTGCATATTCGTCTGAGATTTGGGACATCAGTTTTCAACTGGTCCATTCCATCTAGAATTATTGTGAGGTATCTGGATGGGTCCCTCTTTGCCTTGTAGCGGTGCAAGTGATATTTCTCCCGCTCATTCCTGGGAAAGATTGAAGAAATAAGATACAGTAATGGTTGTATATCACTTAGTTATTAATATATACAGTATGCAAAGACACACAAAAGCTGGTTACAGACGAGCAAGTTTTCTATGACAAGTTTTTGTGTGACAAGTTTTATTTGGCAAGTGCACAA